TCGTTGCCATGTTCCCACCAATCACGTAGCTCCTTTTTCTGCCTTTAAAAGCACACACAACCCACAATTCCTCTATTCGCTCCGACGAAGGGCTAACGCTCGAAACATCAGCTTTTATAATCGTAACGGCGGCCAGTTTACCATTTCAACTTTGTTGATATATTCAAATTATTTCGTTACCCCCACCGACGCAGCCCCAAACAGTTTCTTTAGAAACTATTAGCCTTTATTCATTTGAATTTCAAAGTTGACTGCTAAACAAAGTTGCAGGCGCGATCTGGTCAAAGATGGCGAATTGTCCTTTTGATTTATATCTGCTTTTAGGGCATCAAATTTTCTTTTTGCCACCAACACACATCATGTAAGTCGATAAGTATCACACCGTAGAAGACCAATCATTTTGATCGATCTTTCCGAGAGCTCTCACCGCGTTTAATATTTCAACAAGGCAACGAAGCAAATCGAATCTGATACATTGTTGACATAATGGCTATTTATCTAACAAATCATATCGACCCAAAAGTTGCAACTGAGGCACCACAGAGACATGTATGTACTATCAAGTTTCTTCCTAGATTTCTTTTGTCAGAAAGTTCGACTACATTCGCCCTTGATGTTCATCGTCAACTGCTGCGTTTCCTAGAGAATAATACAAATATGGCTGCGACAAGAGTTCTCAAAAAGGGCTCAACTTGCGTTATTCAAAGATTATCTCGTTCATGTTTGACGATACTCTCTGGGAAACTTATTGCAAATTTCAAGTTAATGAAACAAAGATGTGGCGAACGGAATTTTGATGAAACAGACTAAAAAGAGGGAGGTAGATGTAAATTTCACGTCAGCACGGGTTATGAAATCAGTTACCCCAAAATTTTATTACTAATTTTGAAAGTCCAGTGATAACTTTCACTGCCCAGATAGGAATAATGATCAGAAGTGGTTGGTCATCAGAAATATTGAACCTTAAAATACCCTTATTTTTGGACTTTGTCAAAACCAGAAAAAGTTGTCTTTACTTAAGGGAGAGGTAAGGGATGAAATAAAATGAAAAAGTTAAAACAATTCAATTTTCTTGAATTCTGACAGATATAGAACACAACCCAGCTAAATTTGCAGATGGGTTTTTGGTTTGTCACCAGCAGCAATGCGAATTTAGCTAGTTAATTATGCAAAAAATGCAAGAAATGGGGGTTTTCATATATCTCCCAGTGAATTTAATAGTTTGACCTATCATTTTCACACATTTGTTAACTCATGATACTTAGCAATTGTGCCAAGTTTGAGCCAAATCAGTGATTTGAGGTTTATCGCCCCACGCCGGCTCTGCCCGGTTTTCTCGTGGACATGCTCTTAAAAGGATAACTAGTGGAAGAACTAAATACTTCCGATGATAATAAGGTGTGACTAACCTATCTCGCAGTGTTCTCCGGAAAATCCAGACTGACATTGGCATTTACCGTCTGTACAGGTCCCATCGTTCAGACATGGATTGCTCTTACACTTATCTATGTCTTAAAGATAATTCAAATAAAAAGTGACGAACGTTTCTTAGGAACAGTATACTTCTTCTCTCGTGGAAGATAATTAGTCAATGCAACGCAAGGAAAAAGGAGGAGGTATGTGGTGGATTTGTGATTCTATAAGAATTACTGATGGAAGAACTAAATGTTTCCGATGATAGTAATGTGTAACTGACCTATCTCGCAGTGTTCTCCTGAGAATCCAGGCTGACATTGGCATTTACCGTCTGTACAGTTCCCTTGGTTCTGACATGGATTGCTGTCACACTTATCTATGACTCAAAAGAAAACAAGTGACCAAGGTGCTCAAAAGGTATGCTTTTGCTCTCTTACTAGCAGCCGTCAATTAGTCACTGAAGGGTATGGGAGAAAGAGATAGTAAGTAGTGGACTTGTGATTTCACCAGGGGAAGGAGTTGAAAAAACTCACCTGGCCACATAAAGTATCTGTAATAAATTTCTTTTAATTATAAATGTAAAAATTAACATTGCTAGTTTATTACTTGACAGCCATCGATTTCCACTGTCCCCATTTACTTCCTATTCCATTCCCTATCGCCGTAGCCGTGGATTTCCCCTACCCAGTCCTCCTCCTCGTCCCCGTCACCTTTGCCAACCCCTGTCTCCGGCCTTGTTTATCTTTCTCTTCTGCCCCATCCAAGTTTCATCTACGATTAGTGCATTCATTGTACTTGAACAATTTTGTTTCACATGACAAAAAAAAAAACTGGGAAGCAGAAATACAATCTCCTACCATGTTCACAGTTGTGGCCAGTAATTCCAGGAGGACATAAGCAGCGATATCGTGAAGAAGTAAAACCTGACTGACAGGTTGCTTCGTTCTTGCACGGTGAGTTACCACAGGCATTCTGAAAGAGGGAAAATGAAAAGACTACCTATGAGCAAAATTGTTTCATTATTTTATTTTTCATTGTTTCTGTTTTTTTTACTCTCTTATCCTGAAATCGATTTTATTATTATTCACGTTTTGTAAGGGATTGCCAAGTAGAGAAGTTTTGAGTATTGATTTTTACTTAAAGCCGCCTTATCGTTAATGACTGATGAATACTTAATAATCATTTGTTGAAGTAAAAAATAATGATCACAACCTTTTAACTTAGTTTTTTTCTCCCATTAGATAATTTTCTTACATTTGTTCCATGATAAA